CATGCATTTGGATTACATAGTTTTAAAGAAAGCAAATTAATAAACGTAATATAATGTGTTTTCATCAGTTTAATATAAATAAAACAATTACGAATGAGATTCATGTAATTGTGTTAATATGTCCAATGTTTTTTAAATAGATAATAACTAAGCTTATGCATTTACAATATATACAATTTATTTTAAATTCATATGAACCAGATTTATGTATAAATTTTTAATAAAGATTACATAAAACTCATTAATAAATTCAAAATGTTTAAAATGCATTTATAGAATTTATTTTTAGTTCTTATTCTTATATCTGATATTCTTTTCTTTTATGTTCTTGTCCTGTGTCTATGTGTGACCGTCTGTAGTAACATGAGCAATTTCCTCCGGGATAAATAAAGTTTTTCTGATTCTGATTCTGATTCTGATTCTAGTCATTGCACACTCCCTCAGTGAGCCATGGTGCAGTTTTAGCTCAATCCTCCATGCAGGCATATGGCATCTGTGGGTCTAATCGCATTGCTTGCTTGGTTCAGGTCCTTTCAGAGGGTTTTGGCCCAACTTGTTGACTAGGGTTCTCCAAAACTTCTGATGTGGACTCTCCTCCCATTATTGTCTCTCAGATGAATGTCTTGATGCAGGACCTACTGGTTCCTCGGCTTCAGCTCATGGTGGATAACCTGACATTCTGCTGTAGAATGTTCTGGAACTGAGTGACTTAGAGACAGGTCTAGGTGCAGCAAAGCATCTCCAAACCATGATTCTACCACCACAAGGCTTTAACAAGCTTGAATTCAGCTTTAGTTTCTCACCACACAGACAGGGGGGCATGTCAGCCAAAAAAGTATGGCACAATTGTCATAGTACATTGTTACAGGAGACTCATACATTGAGCTCTGAGTCGCTTTTTATATTCTCTCATGGCCCTCTCTCACCCAAAATCCTTCTGAGGGAAGAAACATGAACACTGGCTGAAGAAAAGACTAAGCCCCACTGTTGGCTAGGACCTTTGTATTGCTCCCAAGTGATAAGTAGGATAGCCATTACTAGGGAAAATTCAATAATCTCCCAAATTTTTGAACAACAAGGTCTTGATATTGAATTGGTGCAGCCACAGTGTCAGAGCTGTCTGTGTAACACTTCACAGACAGAGAAGGATCCTAATGAATTTCTTTTGATCGAGGCCTGATCTGGAAAAGCTTGGCAACACTGACCTGCAAAGCAACCTCACAACACTCTCTCTGCATCCTACAAATACATATTAGACAAGCAAAATAAATTCAGATTCCATAAGACTGACTTCTACTCCTGTTAACATTCAAGTACAAGCAGTGTGACGAATAGAATATTATGGTTTCCAGCAGGTGTTCTGAAGCATTTAACTGGTACTGAGAAAAAATACTTTTTTCATAGTTTTGCCACAGTGATATATTGAAAAATTGACCATTTTTTCTAGAAACAGAAAAGTCCCTTATACTGTCTGTATAATTCTATAAGAAAAATATCCCAATAGAATCATAATCCAGTTTGGCGAAATATGTTCACACAAACAGGGAATTTATGTCTGACTGTCAGTAGCTCACAGAAGATGATGATGTTACTTCAGTTGCTCTGAAGTTACAAACAGTACAATCTGTAATTTAACAGCAGGAAACAGAGGAAAACCAGAAAAACACATTTGTTAAAGGTATAGTGCTAAACCAGCTAACAGAACCTACAGCTTTTTTCTTTCAAGCTTAGGTCAGTATCTACCACGTTACATCCATCCCCATGTAATCTGCAGGAAACTGCAGATGAAGCCTCCTTTACTAATCGTAACAAGGGGAGCAGGAGCAGCTGTGAATCTCTTCGGGGTTTCACTGGAGTGCCTTGACAGAAGGAGTTAAATAGGAGAGCCAACAAGGCTCCTCTGTGAGCTACACTGCTGCTGCTCAGACTCCACCTGAGTCCTGGCACAAGCCCAGGGAGGAGCAAGTGTGAGAGAGAGAGAGAGCACTGAATGGGTGAGCTGTTAGCAAGAGGCTCAGAGAATGGAGCTGAAGTGTGAGCGTGTGTGTGTTCTGCCAGGACATGCTTGTGTGACCCATAGTGTGTGTTATAACACACTTAAGTGTCCCAGTGCATGTATGTATGTCATCACATACTTATGTGTCCTAGCCTGTGTGTGTTATATTCACTTTTATTTCGCAGATGCATTTGTTCAAAGTGGTGTACAAGTGAGGCAGATAGCATAATACAAACATATATGCTGTCAAGGAGTCAACTTATTTTCCTGATGTCATACTGGGCAAATCTGCAAGATCAGGACAGTGCTGTTATATGCTCAGCAAAAGACAGCATGTCATCTAAACAGCAATGTTGTGATGGAAGGTAGAGATGGCAGGGCAAAAAAACTTAGTCTTGGAGAGATTTAGCTGGAAGTGAAGGTTCTTTGTGCAGGCTGCGATGTCACTGAGGCATAGAGATCCAAACAGAGAAAGTGGTGCCGTCAGGAGGGAAGGTCAGGTATATCTCAATGGTTTTCTGTGAAATAGTGTTAGGTGAAGCCATGAGACTGGATGATCTGACCTTGAGAGATAATGTAAAGATATAAGAGGAAAGGATGAAGGACAGAGCCATGGGGAACAATGGTTGTTACCTGACATAGCACCTCTGCACCCCACTTGATCTGTCTGTTCGAGTGCTGCAAAGTTGAGAAAGGGTGATCAGGAGGATTTGATGATTTACTGTATCAAAGGCTGCAGAGAGGCCTAGCAGGATCAGGATGGACGACCAGGATGCTTGTGTCCCAGTGTGTGTCTAGTAAAACACACTTATATGCCCCAGTGTGTATTAGAACACTCACGCATCCCTGTACATTGTGTCCCACTGTGTGTGTTTTTCTGTGTGAGATTTCATGATTAATGCATGCTCCTTATTGGTTGTTCCCATTACAATCTTTGCATCTGTCAGTGTGTGCATGTCTTTGTGCATCTGCATGGTTTTACACACACATGAGTTCGTGTCCAACTCAGATGTGTCTCCACATGGTTCTGTATGCAAGTAAGTATGTTTGTGTATGTGTACATTTTAAGTATATGAGGGAGTGATGGAAGGAAGGAGTGAGGGAGTGTGGCTACTTCTAGGGAGGTCTCTGCCTGTCTAACACTGCTTGATTTGTGCTCATGGTTCCCTGCAGTGTCCCCTCCCCCCTTTGAAACCAGGTACCTCCCTCCGAAAGGGCCCTGGAAAAGAATAAACAAATCTCTTAAATGCTCACCACTCAGACTTGTTGTGGCAACACAGTTGATCACATCGGAACATCTCAGATCATTAGGCCATGGTGAGTGTGGGTGTGGTGAAATTAAACGCGCATTTAGCTATACTCACATCTGGCACCAGTACTCTATGTTAGAGGGCTCCTGGCTATAAGCATTAGGTAAATTTCCCCTTTCATGGCAAATGGTCCTTTTCAGTAAGCTGTTTTTCAGGGCAAGAGACAGCTGTGTGAGGTGAAGAAACCCCGCCTCCAGGGAGACAGAAAGAACCAGAGTGTTTCCTTCTTAATTAAAGCATTTTACTAGCAGCAAAAATTGTTTGCAAATGACTATCAACCTGACAGACCGTGAACCTGGTGTATTTTATTTCCCAGTCCTCCCAACACTCCAGGAGGGGGAGAGGGCATGTTTCCCTTTATCTGCCCCCCATCCCAGTATCATCACACACCCCCAAGAATCCGTTTTTATGTCGTTAGCATGTTCTCCAACATAGGCGAGATCAGGCTCCATTTCTCCATTTTAACGTGCTTGAAAATTAATATCATGGTCGTCCGGTCAGTGCATTCGAATGAATCAGGGGGGGTGTGAACTGGGGGCCAAGCTAATCTCAGACATGTGGGTGGTTGGGAGGGGGGACGGCAGCCTGGTCTGCTATGGAAATGGGAGTAATAATAATTTTTAAAATCGCCTTATCTCCTCAAGTGGGCACAAGCCTGTGTAAGAGATGCTTTGCCTTATACCACATTAAGGACAGGTTCTCCTTGGCTCACTTGGCAAATCATAGGTGAATACTTCGTTCCTGAGTAATGGCTCATACAATCCAAGCTTGGCCATGTATCAATAACCCTCTGGACTCCCTTAAATAACATTGACTTGTTATAGCTTTGGTGTCCTGCAGAGGCATATGCATAAAAAACTTCCTAATAAAAAAAAAAAACAGATGCCATGAAGGCTCACTGGCAGCTATAGTCTTTCATCTGCTCCTGGTTCATTTATTCAACCAAATGATATCAAAATAAAAGAAATAAATGATGGATATGACAGGCCCAGGGCCACAGAGAGTACACGATGTTTCACACAAGTTGGGCAACACCCTTCAGTCATACCTGTCAAGTTTTGGATTTGAAAATAAGGGAAATTTTCCGGCACCCACCGCGAGCCATCCCACCACCCCAACCAAGCTCCAGTATCCCTTACATTTTAAGACAGGTGTACAAGAAATCTAAAATAACCACTTCTCATTTACATTTTATTTTCATTACACATTTTCTTTTAATTTCTCATGTTCACTAATGTGGCTCTCTGGCATTCACTAATGACTTATTATACAGATTTGTTGCAGACTTTGTATCCTTGTTGAAGTCGTCACAGAAGGTGAAAATAATGTTGTTTTTGGCACACAGCATTGCCATTTTAACCTCTGCATTTATGACCTGGTTAATGTTGTAAATGACCTGCTTTCCAGCCCAAACTGAATGTAAAACCCGCCCACCTCAATAAAAACCAGCCCAAATCTCCACCTAGCAAAAAACTTATGTTGAACGTAAAAGTATAGATGTAGCCTGATAAAGAGCATGACATTAAAAACAGTTTTATAAAATAAACACAGAAAAATGCACAAACAAGCTTCCTTGTGAGCAAAAAATTAGAACTATTTAGTCAGTCACATGCAGTTTTTATAGAACGGATCATACCTTTTCAAAGTATATTACTCATTTCTTGAACTGAAGAATGTTGAACACTAATAACTATGTACAGTCCATGAAAGCCAAACATGAGGCTAATACATGGAGGAATCAAATCCCCCCAACAATTGCTGGGGAGGTTTGAAACTGGCTGATGTCCACCCGTTCCTGCTCAGACCAGAGCGCACATCCATGAGGCTTGATATGAGCGGCAGACCCATTCGATTTCTCGTGTCATCCTTTAGCAGCGTCACTTGGGAAAATGCCCTCTCAACGTGAGCGTTAGAGATGGGCAGAGTGAGCAATCTGATTGCACCCAGGGAAAGTTCTTTAATTAAAACAATTATTTCCCCCAGCATCTTTGAATGCTTCAACTTCAAGCCAAAAAGCGTCGATGGCTTGTTCGCTTGAGAATCCGGCTTATCCTACGTTTCTCCACTGGCTTTCTAAGACGTCTTCTGGACATGAAAAAAAATCAGTAGGTAAGTCTGTGACTCGAGGCCTGTTTATAGTGGACATCACTATTTTGGGGGAAAGCAACTCCAGTTTGCGCAGCATCTCCATTGAAGCAGGCAGGCGCATTTGATATTGAGCCAGCACTTCTTTAAGGAAAGCCAAGCACCATGCTGAGATGGTCTCCTTCTGTTCAGGTGCAAGTGGGCTGAACTTTTTAAAGTTGTTTTGGCGCTTATAACAAGTGACCAATACAATTTCACTGTGATGTTTGGTTAACCAATGACTGTCACTGATTGATGATGTCATATCATATTTGACAGATTCTCTGAATGAACTAATTGTGACGGCTGACTGGACAGCTAAGTGACACGTACATTTTTTTATGTTTCTCCATATAATCACCATGATTTTTTTAATACAGTATCTGTATAGTTAGTATAACTCCGTAGTTTACTACGTAGCCCTAGGAGGTCATGAGGGTGGGAAAATATTTTTGCGATCCCGCTACACTTGCCCACTTAATTGGTATTTGCTGCAACCTGACGGCAAGGATAAACTTAAATAATACAGACATGTCATGTTTATGTTTCTCCATATAATCTTTTTTTAATATATTTAGTATATTTTTAATATATATTTTTTTAATGATAATAATAATAATGACAGTAAAACCCGCTAAATATTTTTAAAAAACAGCCCAAATTTTATAGACCCGCCCAATGCCAATTTTCCCAGCCCAACATAACCAAAAGAAGCACAATTGGGCGGAAAACCGCCCAATCTGGCAACACAGCCTGCAGACTACTGCAGGTGGCAGTTCTCGCGAGACTACTGACAGTTCAGTTTGGAGAGGCAGAGGATTTTTTTTTTTATGATATTATAATACGGGAGATTTACGGGAAAATACTAATACGGGAGGATGTCGGGAAGGAGGGGTAAAATACAGTAGTTTCCCGGCCAAAACGGGAGACTTGACAGCTATGCCTTCAGTCGGCAGCCATACTAATTTACCTAGAAATCCATCACGATTGTTATTGAACGGGTTATGAGCTCTAGTATTCCATTGGCTAATGCTCAGGCAAAGTGCTTTTCTGCTTCACAAGGTCAGACCTCAAAAAACCTGTCATGTCTTCTCCCATTGGAGAGGAAATCACAGAGACTGGAGGTGCTTTCCCACCGAAGCTCAGGAACCTTGTTCCTGGGCCGCCTCAAGAGGACTTTTGTAGTTCCTGGCCACTTTCGTGTTGCTTTTGCACTGCACAACAGGAACTGTGATCTTTATGCTAAACAAGCATGGGAAACGCAAAAAGCTCATAGATTGAACTTCACATGTCATTTCATATAAAACTACAACACCATCCCAAAACCATGGCACATGAAGAAGTGGTTTTGTCAGTTATTGGGGGGGATCAGTCACACACTTTGATCTTTTGTTATCCACAGAATATAAAATGATGTTTATTGACTGTTATTCCTCTAAGAAGTGTAGCCAAAACCAGCGATATTAGACGAAAGTGAGCAGTCATCGATCAAATTTTCCGATGCAGAAATATGGCTACACAAGCAAAATGCATTGATTGATGCATTTTATGTAACTAAGACAAAAATTTTAAAGTGGGAAAGCATCTCTAGAGACTCTGTGGTTAACAGCAGGCTATAAAGTCTATCGCTACGGTAACCGCTGGAGAAATGTCATTTAATATTACAACTTTCCTTGGCCATGGTCAGACCAAGGAAAGGAGCTCAGGCAGTCACTCAAAACAAAATGTCAGTCACTGTGTGGCGGTGATGCGTTTCTTTAACAACATTGATAACAGAACCAAGCCAGTGTTTAATAAACTCATGAACAGATTAACTCAGACAATTAATGAATTTATTTAAGGCAACATACTACTGTTTTCATCCATTCCATCTATCCCACTGCATGCTCTTTTAAGTGTTTTAAAAAGCTGAATAATTATAGTGGGGGCCGAAAGTCCCTCCCACTACTGAATAAAAACGCAACCATGCAATAAAGGCATTCTAATGCTGATACAAAGATTTCCAGTATTACAGCACATTAGAAATGTCACAGATTATGTTAGAAACATGTAACCTGTCCCTTTTATCACTAAAATTGTGCCCAAATTATAAACTATCCAGTGAAGGATCTATTAGAGAATTGGGGAACATTGACTGCATGGTTAAAGTGCTACTGACCTCAAATCACAAACCCGCAGGCCCCGCCTAAAATTAGCAACGGATTCATCATTCAGGCAAAGTGACATCAGTTACACAGAAGGTGTCTGAGAGGCGGGACGCCCCGGCACGGCGCCTGTCATCCACATGGATTAGCTTCAGGTGGCAGAGACAAGGGCTCGGTCATCCCAGTTCCCCTCAAATTGACGTTCTCTCCCCCTGCACCAGGCGGCCCCTCAAAGCCCAGGTGTCCTGTACACCAGATGGCACCAAAAAAAGCAGAAGGAGAACCTTAACTGAAAATAAAGCATGTTGAAAAACATCAGTCCAATACAGGCAGTGCTTGGGTTGTAATGAGATGCAAGTGGATGCCATCCCCCCAAGGGAAAAATGACAAAAACCACCCCGTTTGAAAATACACCATCCCCCCCTCACCACTACCTAAATTGTTCCGCGTAATATCCCTCACATAAAAGCAAATGTACCGACTACACCACTATACAACTGGCAAACTGGCTTCCGGATCTGATTCCCTCCCGCCTCCACCAAGATTAGACCCCCAACTTGACCACTAACAGGATCATGAGGGTCTGGAGCTGTCTCAAGCAGCAGAGAGCAGAAGCCTGGGGAAAACCCTGTGCAGGAGGCAGTCCGCCACAGGGCACGGACATGCACACACACACTTAGAGACTGTGGCTAATTTAGAGATACCAATTAGCCAAAATGCATATCTTTGGACTACAGGAAGAAGCCAGAGTACCCAGGAAGCAATGTCCACAGAGCAGAGGCACAAATGTTCACTAAAAATAAAAAAGAATGTAACACAAGGGTGGGAACCCTTTTTATCTGAAGGCAGCTGTGTCTGTGTCTGTGGCAGCTATTGATTTACAGCAAAAACACAAATATGCTACTTCACAAAGAGTTATTTATCTTTACCATGTAGAATGCTGGTGTTTGCGAAGGTCTTAACACAGTTGTCTCATCCTGTGAAATGTTCCCTTGCGAGGCTACTTACTGCTCAGCTACGGAGCTCCATTACACAAATAAAATGTTGGGCGGAATCAATCACCACTGCATGCCTTCAGAAGAATGTGTTTCCTGTCCGGGGCACTAACTGCCTTCCTAGGTCACTCAGAATGAATGGCTGTCCTTCCACAACAAGGTTAACTGAAGAGAAGTGAACTCGTATGAAAAAATTGTTTTGCTAGTTTTTGCTTTCAGTTCCTACTTCATTCTTTTGAACATTTATGTTCTTAAACAGGCAATCCTAATTAGGATACAGGCAGGTGTCGCTTACCTGGGTGGTGCAGCATGACCTGCAGCACCACGAGTCCTTGTGGGGGATGCCAGACCACCAGCACTAGCTGAAAACTTTTAATCTGAACACTAAATCCCAATTCAGTGTTTACTAATTAACACTTTACTGAACATGTTATTATAGTGATGAATGAACAAATGAATGAATGAATTGTATAATACGTAGCATATCATCTTGTCACTGTGTAAATGTAGCATGTAAAGTATATTGTGTAGTAAATATTAGTATGTCGTAGTATACTGTTTAGTAAATGTGCAAATAGAGCACCATGAGGCTCAGGGAGACTATATTTCATCCTAGACGCAAACATGTATATTGATGGGCTGACAATAACGATCTGCTGAATCTTGAATGTCAAGCTGGTAATCTGGAATGTTAACACTTAACGCTCCATGCACTTTAGTTCCCACCTGAAACTTTATGTTGTCCAGGGAATACTTCCGGGCTGCTATCTCCTGCACCTCTTTCTCAATTTTCTCCTGTGTTGTCCCTTTCACGTCGATGTAGTAGCAGTCTGCACTGGCATAGTGACAGGAAATGGCCTGGGGAGGGAGAGCCACGTGGATTTCAGCTATGTTTCTGGGATGCAAGAACAAACACCGAAATGCCATCTACATTTGCAGAGGTGGGGTGGAATGTGAGTGTCATATTTTCCAGAAGTTTCCATCTTATAGTTGCTGATGTGTTTACAAAGCAGGATCTCCAACCTCAGACCTCACAATGCACAAACTCAGTGTTTAAGTACCTGCCATCATAGTAACTATGAAAGCATACCTTATAGGGGTGTAACAATACATCGATTTGTATCGATATATCGATTCAACGGCAAACGATCCGATGCATCGATGTGACCGCATAAATATCGATACATGCATTTTTATTTTCTGGCCTGTTCCAATATTGTTTTCATGATCCACTCTGACGTATACATGGGCTACACCAGGGGTGCCCAATACATCGATCGCGATCTACTGGTCGATCGCAAAGGTAGTGTGGGCAGATCGTATGGCATAAAAAAATAGCGGATGGATGACGCGTTCAACCGCGCCAGCTGCTGCAAGCTACCGAGTCGCCTAGTCAGCCTCCAATTTATTTCTACTAAACTTAAGAAAGGGTATAAAAATGAATGGGGGAGCTGGACCAAGTAAGAAGCCTCTAGCACACGAGAGGGTCATACGAGCAGCTCATGACAGTTATGGACATACTTTTTGTTACACTTTTGTATTTGTCTGGAGAAGACTTGATTCAAAATAAAAATTAGTCACCATGTTAATCTACATCCATCCAAAGTTTTTATTTTTACCTTATTGCACTTTATTTTGCTTGATTTATGGGACATACTTGACTACACTAGATTTTGTTTACAGTTCCCAATAAAATATGATAAAATGCTAATTATATTTGCCTTTTTTAATCCATTGAAATGTAAAGGATTGTGTGAAATTTCATCATTTCGACTACTATCCCCAGTATCAAACTGAATCGAATCGTGGGAATTTCTGAGTTATCAAAAAAAATCGAACTGTTGGCTTAAGGAATCGATACTGTATCGTATCGTGAGGAAAGCTGTGATTTACACCCCTAATACCTTATTGGTCCGCAGAAGGTATGCGCACATAAAACAGCTTTAACGATAACACAACAACAAAATAACTGAAGGGCAAATTCCAAAACTTACTCACTCCACAGGATACATTTTTGGGAAAATTTCAGAGGACTTGGTTCCCAATACTGGAACATATAGAAAATCCTGAATTGACTATGTACATAATTGTACAAAAATTACAAAAATAAAGATTTTATTTTACCAGATGTTTTACCAAATGTTAATTCAAATTTTATCTCTAAAACCTATTGGATCCTCACCCTCAAAGACTAGCATGGAGCATCCTGCTCTAGAACCCAAGGATCCATTGATGCAGAGCCTGAGATCTACATTGGGTTCTGTATAAGTTACCTTCCGAAAGCCCTGAGTCTGGTTCATTCCCGATCCATGGATCAGCAGAGGGTGGAAGAACACCGTGTCTCCTTTCTCCATCTCCAGGTGAACCCTGGGCAGGTCTGGGTTGTAGTCCCGAACACCATGGTACATCTTATTCACCCCACCCTGGATGCCAGTAGAATGTGAGAGGGAAGCAAAAGGAGATGAAAAGAAGCTGTAGTTTCCCCGCTAGGTGAAAAGACCTTTACTTGCAGCTAAAATAAAGTTAAGAAAACTTCAAAGGATGGGAAGAGAGTAGATTATTACGCAAGAACTGTACAAGGACCAACACCATTTTAAATTCACGGCACCATCCTCAGCTTTTGGGTCTGTACCCAGCTCTGTTGGGGACATCTAGCTCCATATGCCACCCCCACCCCCAACCCCCATTAGCACCTCCCTCCTGTAGGCACACAGACCTCCCACTCAGGGTAGTCATGCTCCTTCAGGGTGCCACGGTGGGTCCCAGGCAGCACCACCAGGCAGCCGTTACGTTGGTGAATGTGCTCCATGGCGGTCCAGGCGCAGACAATGCGGTCAGCAGGCCGGAAAGGGAAGTAGTGCAGGTCCTGGTGCATGGGGTGACGGGACGTCTTCTTCCCTGTCAGGGAACCAAGCCAGAGGTCTAGGTTCACGCTGCTCAGCTCCCAACTAGGGCTATTACGATTACTAATCAAGTAATGTATTGACGATGAGAGTGAAAAATCTGATAACAAAAGAAACTATAGGGATTCAGCGATGATGTTCTGGCTTTTGTTGGTGCATTTGTGTTATACATGTAATGTAGAGCAAAACAGTAACAGTTGTGTAGTCTACTCATATTTTAATCAAGTCCCTCCATTATTTTTACTTGTATTTCTATAATGACTATTTTGTAAATGCAACTATCACATAGGAAGAACAGATAGTCAACTGAGTTAAGCCAGTAAGTAACGTTAAAACATTTCAATATTGTCAGAGGAAACAAAACTTCGCATGGGCTGCAATTTTAATGATGGTTCCTTCTCAAGATTATCTAGTATCAGTATAAAGTTTACTGCCACTGCTTTTTCATGAGTCCTGCATGCGCTCTCGGAGCCAATTGTAATCATTTTCATCCATGCTGTTGGACTGGTCACCAAAAGAGATTTGTCTTCCACTGTATGGAGATATTTTGGATTTCATAGAAACAATATTGAGCAAAAGCAAGTGATTTGTCAGCACTGCTTTGTGTCTATTTGCACAGCTTGCAGAAACAACACCAACTTATTTGACAGATTCTATTGGTAGATAAGTTCTGTTTGGCTATAGTATATTTTGGGTAAATGAGCAACTCTGTTTTGTTTTATACATGTTAATTAATATTATATATAACCAAATTATATAGTTGTTATATAGCCTACCATACTATGTAAGATGATGCAGCTACTGTAAGTAATGGGGCTAGTCTTCATTTTAGCGGTTATAGATATTGTATATAGCAAATTCAGCATAATAATTTAAATGAAAGTGATGAAAAAGACAGACTAGGGTACACCAAGAGGCTAAAAGTTACATAGCTTATAGTTATTAATTAAGGTTATTTATGGCTAACCTCAGTTTTGGATGAGTCCGTGAATGTCTTTTTAAGATGGGGTTGCATTGCAGTCGCACTGTTGTGGATATTTTTCATTCACTTTCAATGTGAAATGATCCCACACAACTGAGGGTTTCACTCTCTTTATATTTGGACCTACATCCACTATGCTCCATGTTCCTTCCTCCATATCAAATCAAATTGTATCAGATTTATCAAGTTTATTTATGAAACGCATTACAGTACCGCAACCAGTGGTAGAAGCAGGCAATTAAATGAGTTTCCCTGAGAGCTTCCTATGGTAAGTAATAGAAATATGTGAAGAAAATATAATCATAAAAGAAAATAAAATGGAAATGTGCAAATTGTCCCTATTAATAGCCTGATCAGCTATTGATTGTGTTACTGCCTGAAGGTAGAAGGTGCTGCAGTGTCTTTTTGTCTGTAATCTGATGCTCTGATACGGTTTCCTTGATGTGTAGTGGGGATGGCTAGGATCCTTAAGGATGGACCTGACCTTCTTGAGGCATCTACTTGTGTTGATATGTTGGATATCAGGCAGATTGCAACCCGCAAAACTATATTGCCGAGTAATTGAGAATTTTAACTGACACTTTGAAAAACAAACAAACAAAACTGAGGAATCAAGTTTAACTGAATAATTGTGACAGCTCTACTCCCAATTCTGGCGTAGAGGACTCACATATGCACATTTGCAAGTTGCATTTATTGTGGTAAACTGTTTGAAGTGAACACACTGCCATTTTCCAAATAGCCATAACCTGCAGCATGGCTGACAACTACTATATAGGTGCAGTGGGGGAAGGGAGTAAAAGTGCAGAGTGAAGTTTTTGTGTGCTTCCTAGTGCTTTCCCTTCCATATGTGAGGTCTAAATCGGACTGTAACTCGTCATCCCTAGTTAATGATAAAACCTATTAAGAGTTGTGTGCTGTTGGTTCTTGCTCTCCATCCTGACAAGAAAAATTCTTACAACTGGGTTTTGACTGTCCATTTATAATAAGCTCTATAAAAGCACTGCATACTGTTTCAGTATGGAAAGCGGAACAGGGATTTATGGGTGTCCAGACTGACTGCAAAAACGTATGGTCCAATTTATACCTGACATCAAAGTGTTTAGCACATCAATTAATCCATTACAAGAATATTCATCGACCTTATATAACACCAACAGAGGTTTCAAAAATGAATATTTCCCAGAGCTCACATTGCACACTATGCCATAATTCCAGTCACTTTCCTTCATGTGTTTTGGGATTGCCCCACTATATCTTAATTCTGGAAGTATGTCATTCAAATGTTGTCCAAGTCTTTTTGCACTGATCTCATGCTCGACCCTAGTCTTTGCTTATTAAATGACTTAAATCTCTTCACTTGAACTTTCTCTACTGTGAAAAGCATCTGGTATTCACAGGCTTTACTGCCACTTTCAAGACAGACAAATTTGAAATGTTTCTGAATTACATCCATGCTTAATGATCACTCCACTGGAAGAGACTACCGCCAGATTTAATAGAGCTAGTTAATCCACAGTTCTTGCACAGAAGGGACTTTGCTTATCTATTACAAGCATTCTGTGCTGTTGATGTTTCTGTGTTATCATTTTGATGTCCTTGGCAAAATTTGTATTCATTCCCAGATCCACGCATTGTTTATTATTATTACTCATTTTTGTTTTCTGTCTTATTTTAGGTTTTAGGTGCATGCTCAATTGAAAACTAATAAAAAGCATAATCACAAAAACTGCCTTTTTAATAATATATATCTAAGTAAATATACACTCACCTAAAGGATTATTAGGAACACCATACTAATACGGTGTTTGACCCCTTTCGCCTTCAGAACTGCCTTAATTCTACGTGGCGTTGATTCAACAAGGTGCTGAAAGCATTCTTTAGAAATGTTGGCCCATATTGATAGGATAGCATCTTGCAGTTGATGGAGATTTGTGGGATGCACATCCAGGGCACGAAGCTCCCGTTCCACCACATCCCAAAGATACTCTATTGGGTTGAGATCTGGTGACTGTGGGGGCCATTGTAGCACAGTGAACTCATTGTCATGTTCAAGAAACCAATTTGAAATGATTCGAGCTTTGTGACATGGTGCATTATCCTGCTGGAAGTAGCCATCAGAAGATGGGTACATGGTGGTCATAAAGGGATGGACATGGTCAGAAACAATGCTCAGGTAGGCCGTGGCATTTAAACGATGCCCAATTGGCACTAAGGGGCCTAAAGTGTGCCAAGAAAACATCCCCCACACCATTACACCACCACCAGCCTGCACAGTGGTAACAAGGCATGATGGATCCATGTTCTCATTCTGTTTATGCCAAATTCTGACTCTACCATTTGAATGTCTCAACAGAAATCGAGACTCATCAGACCAGGCAACATTTTTCCAGTCTTCAACTGTCCACTTTTGGTGAGCTCGTGCAAATTGTAGCCTCTTTTTCCTATTTGTAGTGGAGATGAGTGGTACCCGGTGGGGTCTTCTGCTGTTGTAGCCCATCCGCCTCAAGGTTGTGCGTGTTGTGGCTTCACAAATGCTTTGCTGCATACCTCGGTTGTAACGAGTGGTTATTTCAGTCAAAGTTGCTCTTCTATCAGCTTGAATCAGTCGGCCCATTCTCCTCTGACTTCTAGCATCAACAAGGCATTTTCGCCCACAGGAATGCTGCATACTGAATGTTTTTCCCTTTGCACACCATTCTTTGTAAACCCTACAAATGGTTGTGCGTGAAAATCCCAGTAACTGAACAGATTGTGAAATACTCAGACGGCCCATCTGGCACCAACAACCATGCCACGCTCAAAATTGCTTAAATCACCTTTCTTTCCCATTCTGACATTCAGTTTGGAGTTCAGGAGATTGTCTTGACCAGGACCACACCCCTAAATGCATTGAAGCAACTGCCATGTGATTGGATGATTAGATAATTGCATTAATGAGAAATTGAACAGGTGTTCCTAATAATCCTTTAGGTGAGTGTATAAAACCCACTGTTTCAATGTAAGACAGATACTGTCTCTGATTGCGGGGTGTGATGTTTGTAAAATATATGCAGGATGTTTCACATTTTTCTTTCATCTTCTAGCTGTTTTTAAATGTTGTGCCAGCTTCATCACAGCCTTGCCATGTGCTGATAAGGCGGCGGCCAGAGCTTTGAAAGCTCACCTGCATCCGGCGGCTTGTTGATGAGCATAGTGTGCATGGCCATGATGTTCGGCCCGGTGAAGCACTCCACGTACTTTAGGATCTGACACACAAAGGGTGCACAGGTAAACAAAGCAAGGCGGTTGACATAGCAGAAATTAGGCCATAATCAGACTACTGGCAGGGACTGGCCTTGGGGGGGACTTGAGGGTGTCAGTGTGTCAGAGGTGGGGGAGGTCTGTTGCCTATTTTCAGACCTGAGGCAGGGAGCAATAGCAGAACAGCTCTGGGTCCTCCTGGAAGTCCTGCAGCTTGGACACCGCCTTCTGGTCAGGGACAAACTCCGACTTGGCGATGACCACATCCCGCATAATGATCAGACCTGGGATGTGAACTTCTCTCCTACAGATGCGTTCGAACTCCGTCCTGAGAGGACAGACAGACATCTGTTCATAGCCGAGACGACTTCCTAGTGAGGCCCAGTATCACACAGGCTTCAGCCAAACCAATCTACCTGAATGCCTCAGAACAAGAGCACCTTCAGGATTCAGAGTTGCCGAGACACATCTGCCTGCAAATGGCACCTGCCTGAAACAGCTACCATTCAACATTACTGTAAAATGTGTGTGGTTCTAGCTATTATATTATGTTAATATGAAACTTTGTTTGATATTCTAGTTAAACTGCCAGCCTACATACACTGAGAGATAAGGGTGGTCATGTGTTTTCCACTAAGGTCCATGCTATGATATGCAGAGACAAAAAATAAAGTTGTCATAAATCACTGGAAACAAGTTTTGTACTGCTGGAACAATTTAGATTTTGTCGGTTATGGCTGTTCACAGGCTTGCCTGAATTTTTCAATGTCCTCTGCAGACACGAGGTTCTTAATAAGCAAAAAGCCATTTTCCTCATAGAAAATCCTTTGCCCAGGTGTCAGGATGCTGTTATCAAGGGTGTACCTGGAAATCAGATTTTAAAAAAAAACATAGAATTTGTACAACTCAGTCCATCATTTGCTAGTCTCATTTTAACAGTTATTTCCAATTCTGTTTCTGAAATGTCCATTAACACGATCCCTGTCTCACAAAACAGTATGCCTATGGCACCCATTATAGCAGCAAGTTGATTCACAGCACTTGGAAGTAACAACTTCACTTTAGTAGTCAGGACAATCTGACCATATCCAGTGTGGTGAAAATAGGGCCACTGACTAATACTCAATTATGGAGATGGACTTGTAACACTAATGAATAAGTGGTTTTTTGTTTAAAAACACCTGAATAATATATACTGGTGGGGTCAGCAAGGATAGAAGTTTGCAGGCTGAAATCCCAGACTGGTAAATACTGGTATACTTTTCCACAAGTATTTCACTGTGCCCAATCTGCTTCAGTAAATCCCATTTTTACAAACATGTAAACTCAGATAAATCTACTTGATCAGCGTCACTTTGAAGGTCCAACTCTTTGAATTTTTGTAGGTAATCATAAGCAGCTTACCGCAGCGGTAAAGTGCAATGTGAGGACACCGACGGCGCAGAAGTAGAAGACGCTATCTGAACAGTCAAGGTGAAGCGGACATAAAGTTTTTTAGATGGTACTTCAAATGGCTTATTCAACGAGCAGCATATATTAAAACTAAAGAAAACATAAACAAGTCCATTATGTATTACGCTTTATTCCAGTGCAGCACTAAATTCTTAGATCACGTTAAATTAATGTATCGTTCACGAATAGGAAGGCGAAAGGTTAAACACGTCATGAGTAACTTCTAAATTATGTAAACATGAAAATAAATAAAATATAAAGCTGAAAAAAATAACAAATGAAAATGCAAGGCCTTAGCCTCCCTTTCTTATGCCTCGGCTTTCCCTACTAAGTTGCAGCGCACTATGTGAGTTGCGGTACGGCGCAGCCTTCCGGATCTCATCGGTCAGGAAGGGCCAAAACACAGCGAAGGATACGAGAGTGGTAGAAGGATGATCCAGGTGATTCAGGACCATTTTCAGTCTTTTCGCTGCTCTAGACATCGTGCCGCGGTTCCAAGGCTTATTCTATGATTAATGGGTATTTTCATAAAAACGGAGAACTGCGCAGTTCGCTGTCCCCGGTTTCCAAATGGGGCAAAGTTTCACCGAGCTGTTATACAACACCAAACAGATCAAGGCGGGACATACCCTGCCTTCAGGTCATGTCGGGAAAATCGTAAATACGATATGAGAACACATGGACGCCACTACAAAGTCATTTACCAGTGAGGTAAATAAGCCTCGATCGAGTTCCGGGTTGGCGTGTGTCATTACAACAATCATGGCGGAAGGAATGGATAGGTCTCCTGTGAAAGACAAATTGTTTTGAAAGTAGTAAATTTTATGTCCCTAGCGGGACAGCCCAAAATATGAGCATACTGTCTTGCTTATAAATACGTATAAAAACCCATAATATTAAAGTTGCATGGTGTACATTGTCCCCCATAGTTTAATGCTTATAGCACACTTTACATGACATGTCTGTATTATTTAAGTTTATCCTTGCCGTCAGGTTGCAGCAAATACCAATTAAGTGGGCAAGTGTAGCGGGATCGCAAAAATATTTTCCCACCCTCATGACCTCCTAGGGCTACGTAGTAAACTACGGAGTTATACTAACTATACAGATACTGTATTAAAAAAATCATGGTGATTATATGGAGAAACATAAAAAAATGTACGTGTCACTTAGCTGTCCAGTCAGCCGTCACAATTAGTTCATTCAGAGAATCTATCAAATATGACATGA